TGAATCACATGGGGAGGAACGTACTATCAATCTGACCCATTACTGGTGATGTGAACTTGACCATCCAGTCAAGGTGGAGTCTGCCAGTTTCTTTACTGTAAAACTACTATTTTTCCTTTTAATGAATGAGCATCTCATGAGAAGAATCTCATTATTTTTCACCAGGGTGGCACAATAGCCCGTGCTGGATAACTTTGATTAGCTTGGCCATGTCCCCACCCCAACCTTCTGCATCCTTCTTTGTGGCCTACAACATTGAACTGTGTGGACCATATTAGCCTGGTCCTCTGGTTTCTGGGTGGGTTTGGTTAATGGGGGGGGGGGTCCTGCAGGAGATATGAAGAGAGTGGAGAGTGAGAGAGTGAGTCCAGGGATATGTCCCCTTGGTTTCTGCCCCATAGGTTCCTCTATGGCCCCAAGGACAGGTGATATTCCTCAGCTGAAGGGCAGGGCACTTCTCAGCCTGCAGCTCTGGGTTTTGTAATTGCCCCTTCCCCCTGTTGTCCCGAGCCTAGGGGTGTAGCACACATCCCTTGCAGTTTCTCTACATTTCCCACATTCTTCCCCACACCTTTGTGGACTCTCCTTATGTTTCTCAATTTGAATGTGTCATACGTTTCCTGCAAGGGCCTTCATGATACAGCCTCCTGTGGCATTCGTACTTTTCTTTCCCATTTTCTCTTAGTTGCAGATATGCTGGTCTACACTGATCTCAATCCTGGCTTGTCCTTCTGTCAATATGACCTGGGCAGAAAGTACATTTGATGCTAAAGGCTTCAGTGAATTACACCAAAGATGAGCTTTTCTGCTCCGCAGCCAGTCCTCCAGCTTGCCTGGGGACTTCTGACTCTCACAACTCTAGCACAATGTGTGACTTCTGCAGACTTCTGCCTTGGTTTGCTGCTTACCATTGACTTCCTACCAGGGCAGAGTCCTCTTCTGACCCAATTTCTTTTTTGACGAGGGCTCTAATATTCTGCTTCACTCTGCTGGACCCTTTCCCCAGATGCTGGACCCTTGTCCCCAGACCCCCACATATTTTGATGGATGCTGTTTGCACCACCATTCTTCTGTCTGCCCTGCCAGACCTCTCTCCACCTTGTTTTCTCCCTCCCTTCTCCATGCTGGCCCATATGTGCCCACTAACCCTTACTTTCTGGCTCCAGCTGGGTTTGGCCAATGTGGGAGTCCTGACTGGAGATCCCAGGGAGTGTCTGGGTGAGACAGAGGTATTCTATCACTAGCTTCTCCCCTCTGGGGTTACCTTGAGCTGCCCACCGCCTTCTTCTGAAGATCAGAGCTCTGCTCCAGGTGGTCCTCTGCTTCCAGATTCTAGGAACTGCTTTCACTCCTTACTCCTCTGATCTAGGGATGGTTACAGCCTAGGTGGGTACTGACGTACTGCATTTTCCCTTGTGATTTCAACCTACAACCTTAGAAATAGTCCCTTAATTGAACTTCCCTGAATTTTCCTGAGTGTGATGGATGCTTCCTTCTAGGACCCTGGCTGATACAGGTTTGATAGTGACAACTGAATCTGTCTTGGCAGATCACCTGGTGCCAGAAACCTCATTTTGTCAAAACGTATCTGCTCAGTGGATCTCAGACACTGATGACTGTTGCAACCAAGCTAAGGGATCACTGTGCCCTTTTGGACTGGTTATTTGACTGCAGACTACCTCCTTGGGCACCCGTCCTACAGCTGGGTCAGCTTCTCCCAGCTTTGTCCCTGCCCAGTCCTGGTTTCATTCCCCTCATTACTTACTCCTGCTGTTGAAGTATTGACATGACTTGTAGCAGAAGCAACACTTGCCCAGGTGAAAACATGAATCTCCTTTTCTGTAAGCTACATGAGACAGATTTTTTCAATCTGGACCTGACCTTTATGGTGGACAGACCCTGGAAAAGTAGCCTTCTAATTCAGTTCTGTTATGGATGCAAAAATATGTCTAAAATATTTATATATAAACCATCAAGGACATGCTTTTCAATATGACTTATAATATAGTTTACTAGTTTAAATTTTTGGTTACTTTAGATGTTAAAAATAAGTATAAACGGGTTTCATTCTACAAGAATTTGCTGTCAAGAAAATTCTGTACCTACTTGATAACTCTCTAAGGTTCTCCATTTGTGGAGATATTTGAATGTGTTTTAAAAACTGAGCCAGTAGATTAGTAGTCACGTTTTAGTATTTTTCAGCTGTTTTTAGAATAATAAAAATTTCACTGTAACCCAGAAATGCACCTTTGTATCTTAAATTGTGCCAGGTACAAAGGATAATTTGTAGTGAAATGTCCTAAATTATAACACATCACTTTGAAGCACCTTTGGCTTAGACTGCATCATGAGATCATTACATTTAGAGTTTTCTAGTATGCTAATTTAATAGTATATTAATTTGTTGGTCATGTGTAAACTCTATACCTTTTAATGTGATATTACCTACTGTAACATTTTGGAATAGCTATTTGTACTCCGTTTTGAGTTGGTTGGTTCATGATTTGACAGGCTTTGCTACTTGTCTTACATTAAATGATTGATGGTCTTAGTCCAGTTCCCAATGGGCTTGTGTTTATTTCTGTTGAGGCTGGCATTAATAGGTCTTCTCAACAAAGATGCCAAGGACTGACCTGGAACAGACTCCAAATTAATTTTTAGCTTTTAAGATGTTCCTTCTAGGTCAGGATTGAGGCCAACTAGTAGCACAATGCACCAGAGCAGAACTGTCACTGCTGTGTTTCTCCTGAATGGGAGGGACCGTCAAAACTAGACAATGATGTTAAATAAATTCATTAGTTAGAAGACAAGCAACATCTAGAATCTTACTTGAAATGTTTTAAGGCCTAATATACTTATAGTAAAGATAGATATAAAAGGAATTTGCAATAGATTTCATAAGCATTTCTGTGGAATCCTCATTATAGCCAGAGCT